TTATTCTGAATGGTTCAGTCCGGGTCAACAACTACAGAACGAAGCATCGGTGCTTATTCGTCGTATCCGACTGATTGCGATTCTCCAGAAATAAATAATGAATTCTAAAAGGACCTCTTTCAACTGCTACAAAGTACTCGGTCAACGGACATCGTGGTAGTCGCTGAAGACTTCAGTGCTCAAGCGTGATCCTTGGACGAATCAGATAAAGGTGACTTGGTGGTAAACATGTGATCCCAGTCAACCGGATGGACAACGGAGAACGCCTACTCTGTCTTGGCGCTGACCACGGACTGTTTCTGGGAAGCACAAACCTCTCGCACAAGAAACGACACCGCCTTACAGGGAAGCCGTCAACCTCTGTACAGCGATAAACTCAAATCGACCACCGCTGGATAGGGTCCATTGAAGACTTTCGCTCTTACTGGTCAACATTCGTGGACACAAACCACACTCTGCTACGAGCCAGAGTCTCCCTACGTCCGGTGAACAACCACAGAAAAGCCTCCGGAAGTCGATGCCCACAATACAGTGTCGGCAATGGTTGCAAGTCGGCCTTCGAAGGACTCAGTGAAGACTGGACGGTAATTAAGAGGCATTCCAAATGTCAGTCATAACAATGACGGACACTGGTGCACGATCAAAGCAAAATAATGGGTCCTCTTGATCCGACTGTCCTACTGATTACTTGCAAAGCCATTCCTTCTGATGCCAAACAGAAAATAGTGCTCAAAGCACTTATACGACACCATATCAAGAGTTTGAGGAATGAAGGCAAAAATTGCAGGGTAGGAAGTGTAGAGAGATGGAGAAGGCTACAGCAACCCTTGATAGTCGCAATCTTTGTGTAATTGAGATTCAAGGAATGTCAGTGAGGTATTCAAGCAGTTTGATGAAACACTGATTCGTATTCAGCAATACCGTCTTGAACGATGGACAGAACATTTTGGGGCACAGTTCAGCTGGCTTCCGTCGACACAAGACCTAATACCTGCTTCAACTGGGCAAACACTGCCAGTTGAAGTAGAGTTTACCCGGGAAATCAGTTACCCCAAGAGATAAAAGGCCTTCATCCTAAATGGTCTGTTTCCATCAGCCTTGAAGGAAAGAGGGTCAGCCCTGATTTTGAAGTTAACGAAACTCCTGAGAACAGTGTGGGAGAGGGATCAGGTTCCAACGGAATGGTATGAATCCATCATCATACCGATTTACAAGAAAGGTGAAAACCACAGAGGAATCAGTTTAGTCAGTTAATCAGTTTAATCTGTGGTTCTCTCCGTTGTTTGTCTACCGCACTTGATACCCAGGTTGGTTTTAGACGTTGTCAAGGTTGTATAGACCACATTTTCATCTTTCGACATTTTTTAGACTTAGACACTCCTTTCGTAGACCCAAAATTTTTATCTTCCTCGATCCGAAAGCAGCTTTCGATTCACTCGGCCGCTCTGAACTCTGGCGCTGTCCCTCCCTGAAGGATGTGCCCGAGAAGTTTATTTTAGTTTTGCGATGCCTTTACATTAATAGCCGAATTCGAGCTCGAGCTTACGTCACTTTTTCGCCCGAGGCCACTACAGAAAGTGGTGGTCGTCACGGTTGCTCTCTCTCTCTCTCTCTCCGTTTCTATTTAACTTTGTTGTAGATATACTTCTTGAAACAGCCCTATCCTCGTGCGGGGATAGCCGCAATGATTTGCTCCGAGTTGGTAGACTGTCTGACTTGGTGTGTGCAGACGACATTGTGCTGCTAAATGAGGGTCCTGGTAAGTAACAAGCTGTTCTGGATAGTTTGAGTGCTAGTATAGCCATGTTCGGTATGCGTTTTGCCCCCTAAAGTGTAAAATGTTACTGCAAGATTGGGTCGGCCCAGCTACCAACCTCACTGTAACTGGAGAAGTAATTAAGTAGACAAATTTTGCTATTTGGGCAGCTGTATCTCACCTGACGGACGCGTTACAGCTGACGTGTCGGTAATCATATAGAAGGCTCGGTTGGCATTCACCCACTTGAGACATCTGTGGCGTCGTCATAATATCTGGTTGGCTGGTAAGGGTCGAGTGTATGCTGCAGCAGTTCTGCCAGTTCTGCTATACGGGGCAGAAATTTGACCATAACGAAAACAGAACAATGATAGACGACTGTCGATATTCGAACACTGCTGTGTACGCCGCAATATATGAGTCTTGAGGGGAACCAGGACAAGGAATGCTGGAATTAGGCGTAAAGTTTTAGGTAATCTCGGTCCTCCACTAGAGCAAGTGGTCGACCTCTGTAGATTACGCTGGTTGGGACATGTGCTGTATATGTCGTCAAATAGGTTACCACGGCGCACATTATTTGCTGAGGCATTTAGTCGATGTAAAAAGGCCAAGGGCGGTCTAACCAAGGCCTGGCATAAGGGCCAGGCTAGAAGAAGCAGTCATACACATCATGTTAGCTTCCCTGGATGAGGACCGATAAGTCATGGTAACCGGTGCTTAGAGAAACTGAATGAAGTGGCTTAATGTCGCAAACAGTGGCGCTGATGCATTTACTCATTATTCTTGCAACACCAGTCTATATTTCTTCTCCATCTACTCTTTGACCTTGTTCTCAACGTAAAATTCTTCCTTCCTCTTTTTACTCGTAACGTGTAGTGAGACAGCGACCAAAACCAATGCACGAAAATGCATGGCTAATAGTTGTTAAAACTTAACTGAATCATATCAATGAGACAGAAATTCACCCTGTTTTTCTTCTTGATTGCAACTATACGAAGCACGATTTAGAGGCTGGCGCTGTTTTATTCTGTTATACAGAAGAAACGGAAAAAGGGCATCACGCTCAAACGGTTCAACCTTTAAAAGAGGTTCTCGCTGGATTACTCGAACAGGAGAGCGAGCGGAATTAGTCACAAACTTGTACAAGATTTAATGTCCGCCAGGGTGATGTCCCATGATTGTCCAAATCAACCGTCAGTGCTTTGGTAAAAAAATCTAAACGACAATCATTGTGCACAATCAATCAATTTACGCTAGAAGCAGAATTGGAGACAGCGGTCGATCCGTCTGCGAATTCGATTCAAATGTTGAAAATCGACAGCATGAGGCCTGAGGCAATTAGCCAGCAAAGGTGATGTGCGTGTGAAGTGCGCCGTTTGCGTTCGAATGCATAGATTAGAAGGTACTTGTTTAATGATTACAGATTGTCATTACTCATGCTTTGCAGAAGAATGGGTCAGATTTTGAATCCCCTCCAGTGATAAATCAAGCGAACGACGCCGTTTTCACATCAGGCTCAATTCCCGAAGGGGCAGCTTCTTGGAGGCAGTGGGATGAATAACTAATGATGTGGGTCAGAGTTATAGAGCAAGAATGGTTGGGTCATTCTTTTTTGGAATAACGTCACCGGTAGGTGGTTTATCG